CACACACACACACACACACACACACACACACACACACACACACACACTCACACATACACACACCGTGAAGTGGATTGAGTGGTGAGTTGTAGCTTAATTTTAGGCTACCATGTCAATCAATCCGCGGAAACCACCTGTTGGACTGGCACCTATTATTTTTAAACATTTATTTATTTATATTTTGGCACCCCAGTCTTACCATGTCAAGTAGTACTGGAGTGGGGTATTTGTTCCTACGTCACATGCTAAAAATATGTAAATTAACGAGAGTGTGTCCATTTGTTTGTGTTCCCAGGCGTGGTGAGTTGCCAAGGAGACTGTACCGAGACGATGAAGTGCATGGGCCCGGACTTCAATACCATTCTCAACAGCAATGATAAACCAAGTCTGTGCAAGTAAGTCTGTGTGTTTGTGCTTAATGCCAGGGGCGGCTCGTCCATAGAGCACGGTCGTGCACTGCCGCCCAAAAATTTTAATGCGCACAACACCCACTAAGAAACAATAAAAGAACCTTTACCTTCCATCATCCAATCAGTTTTCCGTACAAGTTCCTCGCCAGAGCTTATTCGTTCATTACAACATTTAGATCTACATCTCTACAACAGCTCTTATACCATATTAAGTTCTTGTAATTCACCCAAGTAAAAAAATAGCATGTTCAGTGGTGTAATCTATCTTGGAAAATGCTCTATGGGCCGACCTAAACAACGATGACGTTTTGACCGAGTTTCTTAGTTCATAAGTATTAATAAGGCGGCACAATCTCAATGTGCACCCACCGAACAAAGCCCATAGAGACAGTCTAAAAATAACGCGATCTCAGACAAGTTCACGATATCCTACACAATTCAATGCCCGTATTATGATAGCTTTGGAGCAATCCACCGGAGCGCTCAAAGTGATGTGTGATTGGTCCATTGTCTTGCTATTTATATCTCTAGCCCCACCTCTGTAACCCTGAACTTGAGCGAGGTTAACATGACGTAATTAGGTCACTGTGTTAGAAATTGGAATGGTGTAGTGGTGAAAGTTTTATTACTCTAGTGTGTATTCCAATACAGGATGAATGAAGTTGATTGCAAATATAATCAGTTCACCAAACAAAATAACAAGAAGAGAGTGAAAGAAATAGGTCCTCACCAACCCAAAGTTAAGTATTATACTTTCGGACAAGTAGACATAGAAGCGCAGCTAGTCGTTGGTCATCGCATTGCAACGTCTCACAATAACGAACTAGTGAGAAAGAACAGGCACGTATTGTGTAAGGTTATCGTGTGTATTTTGTTCTGTGAAACTCACGAACTCACCCTTCGCGGTCATGAAAATGGTGATTTGTCGGGGAACAGAGGTATTTTTCGCTAACGCTTTGCAGGCTCTTCGGCATTTTTTGCCCACTCTAAAAAATAGGCATCGGCGTTCTCAGACGCGTTTGTCACCGGAATATTCCATGGCTGCCTGAAACAAAGTGGAATTTACAGTCTCGACTAATTAGCCCAGTCTTCATTTGGAAAGGAGAGATCCAGTTTTTGTCTTGTAAAAATTCAGTCTGAACAGTGGGACGATAATTCCATCCACGATGGTATTCTGAAGGTATTAAAGAGCGAAACATTTCTCTTCTTTTTGCACTTTTTCAACAAAGTGTTCACGCACGTTGGCGCTGTTTATGGGATCCTCTAACACAGAAGTACAACGCCCGTAGCAGCCTAACAAGCTCTAGACACGTTTAAAGTAGCCGTCGAGGAAATTAGAAACAGTGTACATGTTCCGAAAAACAAAACAGACCACAGAAAACACGCTTCCAAGAGACGCAGACATTACAACACCAACGAAATTGCTGCAAAGCAGGCCTGTAACATAATATTTTCTCAAATTGTCGAGTTTCTTGAAGCAAAATGAATTCAACGCACTATCAATCTTCGACTCCTCCAAATTCCAGGACTACCAAAAGTCGTTTTTTACAGTTCTTTTAGGATCGTTTACAGAAATATTAGGCCTACTGTTTTGCATAAAATCAAGTTACAAACAGAATTATAAGTATTACATTGCAATGAAATATTTAAGTCTGCTCAAGGTCGTACAATCCAGAGCCTTTATTCAACTCTGAAGGACTACAAACAAACTCAACACAGCATTCAGAGAAGTATGAAAAATCCTAGACATCACCCTGACGTTTATGTCCATCCTCAAGGACATCATTGACAGCGGTGGGGTGGGGGTGTTTAGTAGGCTTGGAAAGACGTTAGTGCTTTTTGTGTTGGTTTTTATTTTCGATATGAGGATTATTTGTTTGACATTTGTAGTTGTAGCATGTTGAGGAAAATGGAAATCATTTTAAGATATTTACACATACCCATACACAAACAAACACACACCCGCACGCGCACGCACACACACACA